ATCCACCAACGAGCGCATATCATTAACACAATGACTGATCCTGTCAATATAACCCTGCGTATCATTATCAGGTGATATCCGGTCTACCAGCATACCCACGAGGAGGGATAGCTTACGAAGGGGAGCATCGAGGTCGTGAACGGCCATGTCGATAAACTCACCGTACTCCCGCTCCATAGCGCTATCCAGCCGGTATGGCTGAACGCTTTTGTTCTTTTCCTGCATGAGCGGTGTATTTTCCATTTGGCTAAAGCCAGGTATTTGGTGATCTATCGCAAGTCCGGGGATCATTGTTTCCATGAAGCCACAAACCGTTTAATTCCGGCACTGTACTACAACTTGAATGCCGTTTTACAGGCTAGTTGATTTACAGCCGGTTTTTACCATCCGGGGCATCAAATTTGCTGGGTTTTTGTCACAATTCAAAAAGCAAGCTACCCCCGCCGGCTAAAGAATGTTGTTGGCGGTTTGTTTTTTAATTTGCCAATACATATAGACTGTTTACTTATCACGGTTAGTTTTGATTTGATTATGAGAAATTTAAAAATTTTGATCATCGATGATGAAAAGGATTACTGCATGATCATGCGAAGCTATTTCCTTGGACGGAAATTTGAGGTCTCCGTAGCCTATACTTTAAAGGATGGGTTCAAACTACTTGAGGAATATCGTCCCGATATATTGTTACTTGACAATAACCTCCCTGATGGAAAAGGACGAGATCATATAGAATCCATTGTCGAAAAGTATCCCGATCTGAAAGTGTATCTCATCAGCGCCTATCATCAAAAAGCTGATTTCTTAAACCCACCGGCCAATGTCGCTGTATGGGAAAAACCCATTTTACTCAATCTCCTGGATGAGACGTTTAAGTCAGGATTGACTGCGTGATGCGCAGGTAGACAGCATGTAACGGCATATCTCCATCAGGTCATTTACATTCGAGGGTTTGACCAGGTAGTCATTCGCCCCCAGTGCCAGGCACTTGTCCTTGTAGGTACCCGAGCGCGATGTACTCCAGATGATTTTCGGTATGTTTACGTACTTCTCCCGGCTTCTTAATTCATTCAAAATTTCAGCCCCGTTGAGACCGGGCATGTTATAATCAAGCAGTATCAGGCAGGGTAATTCGTCTTCTGAATTTTCAAGAAATGATATGACCTGCGATCCATTAGCAGCAAATACAAGTAAAAAACTGCCATCGATGGAACTAAAAATTTCCTTTAGCAGTTCCTGGTCGTCCAGATCGTCCTCGCCGATCAAAACGAGCTTATAATTTATAGGGATGTTGGCATTGACCTCCATGCTTCTTTGTGGCACAATTTTCTGTGTTAAAGATTACTTTAATTATCCAATGATTC